ATATATAGTTAAATAAAGGGAAAGCTATTTAGAAACAATTAAATTTTTTTTTAAATTGAAGCCAAAGAATTTTTTTTTTTTTGGGCATATTCTCTTAAAATAATATTTTATAGAGTAACATATTAAAATATGAAATTAAAAGTTTTGAAACTAAAGATCTGAATATCCTTTTTGTCTATCTTAAGCAAAAGGTAGTACTCATCACATACTTAGGTATATATTTCCATCCCTATTATTTGCTCTATGCGAATTTTATTTTTCTAATTTAGCTTATTTTGGTTAATTATTGGAATATTTGTATATGTTTTTTGGCTGGTTTCATTTAATAATTTGTCTTGGTAGCTAATTATAATTACGATAATATTTATATTATCACTCAATTTAGCCTATGCATATAGACAATGGAGAAAATTAGATTCTAGTATTCTGATAAAAAATTTATCAAAATAAAATTTTAAAATTTTAAATTAATTTGAAATTAAAATATTCCCAAAAAAAATTAAAATATAACATATTAAATTTGAATAATTAGTTAATTATTGTATTATGTCATTTAAAAATAAATTTTCAAAATTTAATTCTGAAGAAATTTTAATCAAAACATTATAAATGATTTTTTTCAACGATAAAATCAACTTGAAAATTATCAATGAAAAAAAAAGATCGAATTTTGCCGCTCCCTAATTTTTTTCTAAAAGATTAAAACATTTTGAGACTATAAAAGTACCAAGTTAGTCCTTTGACTTTTTAAATAGGAACAAAAATAGTCATTACATTAAAAAATAATGAAAAAAAAATCTAAGAATTTATTAACGAGAAATTGTCGCATTATGGATGGCAAAGGGTTAACTTTAGTATAAAAATTAACTTGCTGACATTACCCACAATCTAAATCTACTCCCACCGATATTTAAGCGTACATGTCATATACGAGAAAATATAGTTGATTGAAATTTAGGTTTCGTTTGGTACGACTTTTTTACTGTTTCTTAAAACAGTTTTTCAGTTTAAAAATTATTTTTTTTACGAGAAAGCTCTTTTAAGAAGCAATAAAAAAGCTGTCACAAACGAAACCTTGATCTTTACCAAATAATATATAAGACAAAATAAATTTCCAAAAATTCCTTTATTTTTTTAGCACCATTAACAACGTCCATTACTTTGGATTTTACGATCATTTAAATCCCTATTCAAAAAATTAGAGATCTAAAATGAGCCTTTCGGAATCATTTTAATCATTCATAAAAAGTCAATGAATTAATTTGATCATCATCTCTTATCTAAGTAATACCAAACACTCTAAACTTTTTTCAAATTACCCAATTTGGCTCTAACCAGGTTTTGGATTTTTTCTGACACTCAAATAAAAAGCCAATTGTCCAAAATTTGATTAACTGAACTGTATATATATGCCTTTAATATTCAAAAATATTTTCTTATGGATAATTAATAATTAGGAATTTGATGGTATGTGTCAAAATTGCTTATGTATTAATTATCATATTCATAATGAATATATTGTAACTCTTCAGTGGGTTTAGGAAAGGGATGGACTTTTTTAATGAAAATTTTATATTTTATAAAAATTTATGAGGTATAACTTCAACAAATTTAAACTAAACTCCAGCTAAGGCGCATTAAGAGTTTCTAATTAACTATTTTATGCATGTGTGGATAAATGACCAAATCAATCAAAGATTAAATTGTAAAAGGACAAAGAAGAACTTATTAATTATCTAAATTTATTGATCAAGAACTTGTTTTGATTAGAGAAATAGGTTGTTTGAGTTAGGCTTGAAATTTTTTTTAATTAAATATTTATTAGCTCTTAATTATGATAATTTAATTAGTAATTATTAGTTTTGTGCTTTTCTTATTTGCATTTGATGTCATTTTTATTTAGTTGAGATTATTTTTTGTATTATTTTTAAATATCTCGGAGAACTCGCCATTGAGATTGATCAAGTGATTGTCTACAAAGAGTTGAAATCTTTTTTTGCTCTAAGTATTGCCAAGTGGTATTAATTGTGTAATTTTATGTATATTATTACTTGAGCTTCGTTTGAGATAGTTTTTTTATTGCTTCTTAAAGCATTTTTTAGTACAAAAGTTTAAATATTAATTTGTACTAAAAAGTTACTTTAAGAAGCAATATGAAAGTCATTCCAAACTAATCCTTTGAACTAGTAATTCATCTAATTATTGCCAAGTGGAATTGTGTAATTTTATGTATATTACTTGAACAGCTTTCTTATTACTACTTAAAGTATTTTTTAGCACAAAAGTTTAAATATTTGTATTAAAAAGCTAATTTAAGAAACAATAAAAAAAGTCGTCTCAAACGAACCCTTAGATCTAGTAATTCATCTAACACTAAATTTTGACCTAAATCTATCTATAAGTAGTGTTAGAAAATGAGTCTAACATATTAACGTTTCATTTGAGACAATTTTCTTATTGTTTTCTTCTGCAACATTTTAGTACAAAAATTTCTTGAAAGCAACAGAAAAATCAATGACTAAAAGCTCTCCCAAATAAAGCTTAAGTTATATGTAAAGTACTGTTTATTGTATTTTGATTTACAGCTCTTGACCGGTTTTTTCTTGAATTGCGCTTTTAGACTTGTGAAAGTTAATGAAAATGTCTACGGTCAAGATCTAATCACCATTAAATTACTAGCCATCACCGTTGAACACTCACCGTGCATGAAGTTCCACCTTATCTTCATTGAAAGCGTAAAGCCATTTACAGTTTTATTTTTCTTCCAGAAGAAGGAATCGATTGGACGCAAAGTAAAGCTTAGCTCAATGATTCTGCACATAAACAAAACCCAGAGAACCTGTCAAAGGTTGACCATCTCTGCCTCTCGATCGGCCTTCGCTTTGTAATTTATTTTTCTGCCAACCTTTCTTTCCTTATTCTTCACAATTTACTCCAACGAATTACATAAAGAAGACAAATCAAAGATCATAGATAATTCTGTAATTATTTATAAAGCTTGTTAATTGGACAAGTTGTTTCTTGATTACTGTATGTAATTAGTATATTTATGTATTCCCCCTCCACATGGATGACTTTTGGCTCCACGTAAATTCATTCAATGTTTCGTCATCATCGGCTTCATCGCCATTTGCTTCTTGGAGTCGATTATTTTAGATTGATTTTATGAATGGTTCTTCATTTTGTTCACAATGAATTGCATTATATGATGAATCTTCTTCTTCTTCTTCTTCTTTTTGTGGCTAAATCATTTGTTTTTTTTTTTTTCGATCCATTTTATTTATAGGGGCTGTTTGGATAACATTGTTGTTGTGGGGTTATGAGTTTTGGATGAGAAAAATAAAGGGCTGGGTTACGTAGTTAACTGCTAGTGTAAAATTAATTATCAAACAACCTAAAAAAAAATAAAAAATAAAAAAACAAAAAATAAATAAATAAAGAAATAAAAATAAAATTAATATCAAACAACAATGACATGAATCCCTTAATTTACACAGGAGATAAAAGATTCATATAGCCGACCCCACTTAGTAGGAAAATATTAAATGTTGTTGTTATTATTCGGTTGTTTGGAATGAGGATATTGGGCTAAATGTAAGAGTTATACACTATGTAGGCATTTTGTTGGCTGAAAAGTTAATTTGAAGTAGAATTTTGGGTAATTTGTTCATTTTGTTTAACCTTGATGAATTCTGAATATTCTAATTTGAGTGATTTTTTTAATATATCGCATCATTCAATTTTTCACAAATAGTCATCCGACCACTGTCGCCAACCGCCGCCCTTCAACTCTGATCCCTCCTACCACCACTATCGGCAAACATAGATTTATTTGCTTGCATGCAAAACACAAAAATTTAGGCCTTTGAATTTATTTACAAACAACCAGAAACTATAAAGTATTTCAAATATAAAGATTTTAAATTATATTGTTCTTTGAGTATATGATTTTCAAATAATTGCAATCAAGCTATGTCTTATACTCCGTTTGAGATGACTTTCTTACCACTCTTTAAAGCAGCTTTTTAGTATAAAAATTTTTGTAATAGAAAGTTGTTTCACAAAGCAATAAGAAAGCCGTCTCAAATGAAATCTTAGTCAACTTTTACTTCTTTTTTCCTAGTACTTTTCCAAATAATTTTATCTATTATTTTTAACTTCTATTATATATAATACAAAAATCGCACAAGTACTCATTTAATTGGCTGTTCTTGTTAAGAAAAAAACTTTAAAATAAATATCATTCATTTTCTATGTAAATCAAATATATTTATATATCTAAAGGAGATTTCTAGGTGCATCTGTGGACCTTAAAATAAATATTAATTTCTTACTACTTGCACTGCAAGCACCCAATTAAATATTGCAAGTACCAAAATTTATTTTATTATTTTTTTAAAACTTTTTTTCTAACTGCAAAAAATACACAACTCTCCTTGGCCTATTAATTAAGAGCTTAGGCTTCCGACTAAGAGATCCAGGATTCGAGTCTATGTATATGTGTTGTGTGTGTGAGTTCGCCTTAAATGACCTAAATGTCCCAAAAAAAAAACTGCAAAAAATCAAATAGGCCTATCTATATCATTAAAAATCAATAATCGGATCCATAAAATAAAACAGGCATAATGATTTCTTAATTAAAATAATCCATTAGAAACCGTATAATACAAAAAAAAAGTCTACAAATATATAAGAACCTATGAGATTAACTAAGATATGCAGAATATTAAACTATATATGTATATATAAATCAAAATATTAAACTATGTAGGAGGACATATATCGTGGGTCCAACTTGCTGATGACTGCATGATATATATTCTACTCCAAGAAAGACAACAGGAAAGAAACTATAGTCTTTCCCTCTCTCTCTCTCTTCATATTTTTTAATACCAAATCCATGCTCTAATTGCCCTTTTTAAACTCCTTATTCCTGCAATAAACCAGTGTAGAACCTCTCTTCTTTTCCCTCAAGAAGAAGAAGAAGAAGGAAGATAGAGATGGGAAGAACACCATGCTGTGATAAGGCAAACGTGAAGAAGGGGCCATGGTCGCCTGAAGAGGATGCAAAGCTCAAGGCTTACATAGAGAAGTATGGAACAGGTGGAAATTGGATTGCTCTTCCACAGAAGATCGGTATAGATATATATATACTTCTTATTTGTATGTATAAATATGTATAGTTTGGTATCTGATATTATCTGATATTACGTGCAGGTATGAAGAGATGTGGGAAGAGCTGCCGCCTCCGGTGGCTGAACTATCTTCAGCCGAACCTGAAGCATGGCGGCTTCTCGGAGGAGGAGGATAACATCATTTGTAGCCTCTACGTAACAATTGGAAGCAGGTATGCTCGTGCTTAATTTCTCTACTGTGAATTAATTAATTACATTAATCTCATGGATCTTATTAACAAAAGAAAATTTTGAGTGAGGATGTTCTGATCAAAATTTAAGTTTTAAAGGATTTTAAATTTTGAATTTGTTTTGGAGATGAATATAATGAAAAGTTTTATGAATTTTATTCATCTGAAAATAAATTTAAATTTTTCATTTTTTTTAAAGATATTTTAAGCTGAATTATCTCAAAAAAATAAAAATTTAGATCTTTCTGGAATCACGATGGAACCTTTCACCAAGCTCACATTATGCGAAAAAGTGAGAGAAGAAAAAGAGCTTGAGATAAATCATTATTTATTTTGTTTTAATTTCTCATTAATTTCATATAAAATTGATTTCTTTCAGTAATATCAATTGGTTATAAGAAAAAAAACCATAAGTTAGTTTGTAAAATCTCTTACTTTGGCTAATGGAAGACAGACTTTTATTCAGAATTTGAATAGTTAGAGGTCTGAGATAATTGATCATCAGAACTAGTAGCATCGATCATGTTGGATTAAAGAGAAACATGAATAGTACTCTATCTATCTACTAATCTTTGACAAAAATTGTTAACTGACTAAATTGTCAATTCATCAAACAGGTGGTCTTTTATTGCCTCCCATCTGCCCGGAAGAACAGATAATGACATCAAGAACCACTGGAACACAAGATTAAAGAAGAAGCTTTTGGGCAAGTCCCGTAAAGATCACCAGAAACAAACTCGCCGCATTCCCAAGCTACTGGAACCCAAAAACATAGAAGAAACAAATGATTTCTACAGCATACAGAATCCAGCTGCTTTGCCATCCAACCCCGAAACAGACAGCCAAGCTTCAATTAAAAAACTTCTAATGAAGCTTGGAGGCAGAATTTCCAGTGATGAAGCTGAAATTCCTCCTTTGATTAATGCACCAGATCAAAATAATCTATATGGGAATACCAATGCATGCCTCATGGCTTCTTCAGCTCAGCTCAGCTCCTACAACGAATGCCTCTCCACAAACCTCAACGACATATTTGCTTCCAATGAAGTGAAATTGGAAGGATTTGAAGATTATTCTCTGTATGGAATGACGTCGTCGACAACCATGGCAGAGGAGATTACAGGATTGATTGGAATGCCTGAGGCTCTAACCTGGAATACTAGTGATGTAAGCTCTTTGATTTATCCTTCCATGGCTTCTACCGCTGTGAACTATCAAGGTTCAATGCAGCACTGTGCGTATCAAGATCACCTAATGCATCTTGGTATATAGTGATATATCATTCAATCATGGATAAAATTTGGCTCAAGATATTATGAATTTAACTTAAATCAAATGAGAAGTGTCTTATATCGATCCTGAACCAAATTTTTTTCTTGAAATAGTGGTGTACATGCATGGTGATTTAGGTTTCGTTTGGGACTGCTTTTTTACTGCTTCTTAAAGTTATTTTCTAGTACAAAAGTTTTAATTTTAACTTAAAAGCTGTTTTAAGAAGCAGTAAGAAAGCCATCCCAAACTAAGCTTTCAGTTTAAGAGGTTTAAATTTTGTGATGGTGTTGGATTTCTCAAATGTATACCTACACAAATAAGTTCATTAGAGTTGCTTGTGTGCTTTTACATTTGTTGGTTAATTAAATTCTTCAATATTTTAATTTGGTTCCACATGCAAGAGGAAAATTGTGATTTAGATTGTGGGAGTGGTTGGCAATTGGACAGGTTTTTAATTTTTTAAGTTTTTTTGAGGTTTTTAACAGTCATGATTATAAAATGTATATTTCAAGGTGCAGGAAGGCTTTTTTTATCAGAAGACTGTGCTGCTCTATTTCCTAATGTGTTCGTTTTACTCAATGTCACACTCTCTTCCATGCTATCATCATGAAAGGAACCATCTTCACAGTATATCAGAAGCTAAGTAAAATATTTTTGTTGATCTACGAGATACATAGAGAGAGAGAGAGAGAGAGAGAGAGAGTTGGCAAAAGAACTGAGGTACATTGGGACCTCTCTAACAGGATGACATGATTATTACTTAGAATATAGATATTCATTTCTACAGCAAGACAAAGATGGGATGAGTGGAAGTACTGTTACGTAGAATTGTCTCTTATTGGAAGGATACGTTGAATGCTCTCCAATCTTTAGGTGACTTGGATTTATTATGCTGCAAAAAGGGATGAACCTGGGAATTCATTGTTCTCTTCTGGCATTTATGGAGTCGTTTGAAAGAGAAATGGTTGGAGTTTTCTCTCCTCCGGCCCGAGTTTGCATTAATTTCTACTATTTCATTATTATTTGTACATGCTCAAAATACACTAAAAAAAGTCCCATTATAAAAAACTTTGCATCAGTTGCTTAAAACATTTTATTTTATTTCAAAATTTTCTTAAATTCAGAGGTGATGTGCCAAAATATTAGCTGTCTGAAAGTCCAGATCTGAAGCTTGAGGGTTTTTCTTTTTTAAAATGAATGTGCACAGAGCTTGAATAACTTACAGGTTAACAGCTTCTAACTGGCAGCAGCAATGCCTCACCCTATTGACCACTGTTAACCAACATCAACACCCGTCGTCACCAACACTCAACACTATAGTAAACATATACCCATTGTCTTTCATTGCCTAACACCTAACATCGACCAACATCAATGTATTATAACCTCTATCAAATGCTATAAAGACTAAATCTAACAGATCTTCTCCCCTAACAAGGTCATCATAAAGCTAACTTTTTATACGACCAAACTATCTAAGATACTCTTTCTACTCTTATATGCTACTAGATCATAGCTAGCTACTGCATACTTTTTTATGTTTATATTTTATCTCTAAGTGTAAAGTCACTCATCCACCAGAGCATACTCATCTTTAAAACACTTAATTTTATGCTTCTTTTGTAATTAATGTTCAACATTATGTGTCATAAAGCATTACAAATCTCACTATCATCTTATAGAATTGTTATACTTTATGTTTGAGGGGTACTTTTCTATCACACAATAGGTGCGATGCAGTCCTCCACTTCAACCATCCGACTTGAATTATAATGATAATATCCTCATATATTTCACCATCGCTTTGAATATAGACCCTAGATAACTAAAAATCATATATACACTTTGTAATGAATCGATAACCAAATGTATAGTACCACTAAAATTACACTCCATATATCATTTTTTAGATCTACTTAAATGAAAGCCTATAGATTCTAAGGTTGACCCCTATAATGCCAAGTTTTCATCAACTCCCTCTCTAGTCTTATGAATAAGAAGAATATCATTATCAAAACGTATGCACCAAGGTACGTGCATCCTCTTGCAAATGTTGTAGTAAGAATATATATGCCAAAATAAAAATGATATTGGCTTAAAGTTTATTCTTAGGCTCTGTTTGGCTGCCGGATTTATGCAGGATTTGAGTAGGATTTATGCTAAACCTGCTAAATAGGATTTAAGTGGTTAAGTATCAATAACATCAATCTTATATATCTTACCTATTATTAACCATATATATTATATTCAATCAATACATGTATATGTACCAATCATGATCTATTTAGCAATGCTATCTATGTACATTATAGTTTTATTTATTAATACTATAATGTAAACATGCATTAATATATGATTCAGCAAGGTATAACATACAATTTTAATATAATATTTTGATCTTTTTAACCCCAGCTACTTCCCAGTTGTTGATCTGTCATATTCATCATAATTATTATTTATCAGTAAATTAATTATCATTATATATGACTTTTATTAAATCAATAAATAAACATCACTATCTACCCGTCGACGTAATCAGTCATTAGTTACAGGCTAAGACCGAGATAATAACAGAATGGACGAACAAAAAGTCAAAAAATGCCCCGAATGCTTTCTCTCTTCTCCGTCCCTCTCTTTTCCTTCCTCTCCCTCTCCCTCTCCCGTTCTTCCTTCTTGATCAAGTCACGGAGGTGAGGGGGAGGGTTGGCGGCTTTATCATTTGCATATTATTCAAATTCAAAATCATAGCTTTGTTGATTATGACCTCTAACATGAAAATTACTTTTGTATTGGAGAAGCATATGAAAAATATATAAATAAATATGATAAAAAAATTTATAGCTTTCTCAAAATTTTAATTAGATTCATATATTTCACCAATAAAAAAATTCATATATGATAAATATCATTAATCACACATATTTAAAGTTTCATTTGGAATAACATTCTTATTACTTTTTAAAGCAGTTTTTTAATACAAAAAAATATTGAACTTAAAATTTTTGTACTAAAAACTATTTTAGAAAATAATAATAATAAAAACTCACTCAAACAAAACCTAACCCAAAATTTTATAATCATATTTTACTCATATAATCTATTTACTTATTTATTTATTTGTTAATAAAACAATTTTATGCATTCTTGAAATTACATATAACAATAATTAAGAAAAGAAGTCTATCCTTGCAATAAGGATCACATTGATTTAAAGCTGTATGGTCATTTTCTTATAAATAAAGAAATGTTTTGGTGTCAGCAATGACATCAACACAGGAACACAGTCGATCACACCAATGCATATAAAATCATCAAATTAAGAAATACAGAAAGTCTTTGTTGCCTATAATTATAATTGAGTAGCAGTGTTCAACTTTACCATCTGGCCATGTGAAGCAATTTGAATTTTGTAAAATAAATTATTGTTTAAAACAATTTTTATTACAACAAAAACCTTCCCCAATTTGCCAGCAAGTCCTATGTTTCAGAAAATATATAAAGTCATGTAAATATATTTTATGATAAATATAAAGAACTTTTTGTATAATTTGGAGTTTGTAATTTTTCAGCGAAAATATTGATTAAGCTTATTAAATTCATTATTACTTACTAAGAAGATGGAAAATTTGTGTAATTTACAAAATTTTAAGAAGTTCACATTATCTTAGTTTTTAGACAAATTATTTATTAATGCGAGATGTAAACGAGTGGAGCTGAGGTCGAGTACACCTCTAACTTGAGCCTAAGCTTGATTAATTAATCAGTTTGACCTCGAGCTTAATTCTATGAGTTCGAGCAGGCTCATAAGCATGTTCGTTTATAACAAAAGAGACGAATTGATTATGATTCAAACAATAATTATAATAAAGCTATAAAAAGAATAAGAAATAAAAATAAATAATAAATAATCATTTGTTATAAGAAAATGATATATCATTTCAAATATTTTTAATAGCTTTATACTTAAACTTTGAATTTTAATAAACTTTAAGTGTATTGATTATTCATATTTTTAATACCAGTTGGCTCACAAACTATGAAACTATTGAGCTGAGTTAATGTTAGAATTCTAGACTTTTTCAAATAAGTAATAATAATACAATAAAATAAAATAAAAATAGAAATATTAGGAATTAATCGATGACTTAGACTTTGTTTGGAACAATTTTTTATTGTTTTCTAAACCAAATTTTTAATATAAAAATTTTTTGAATTAAATATTTTTATACTAAAAAAATGTTTTAGAAATCAATAAGAAAGTTGTCTCAAACAAAATCTCGTGAAATTTAAAATTTATGACCGCTAAATAACTTGGTCAACTTAACCGGTTTGCTTAATGTCAATTTGAGGGACATACAATTTTTCTTTTTTCTTTTTTATTTTTCAAATTTTTACAAGCAAATTGTTCACAAATTTTTTATCCATTATTTTATAAATTTTCTTCAGTTTACATAAAGAAAATTGTAGCTCACAAATGGTGATTATCTGCCTTTTGTATTGAATTTGAACTGCCATTTCAAAAAGTTGGTGGAAGACTTCTATTTTCAAAAAAATAAAAAATAAAACAATAAATTAAATAAAATTACTAAAAAATGCAAAAGAAAAAAAAGTCAAATATGAGCTAAATTTTAATGTTTTTATGAAAAAATAGCAATGTTTTATATTTAAAGAAGGGACACTTAACATGGAAAATTTGTCCATTTAGAAGAAAATGACATACAAATTAAATTTGCAGCAATATAATTATCATCCAAAGTTTCAATCTTATTATAATAATGCTAATGAAAATATGCTTTCATCCTAAAGTCAACAAATAATTGGACAGAATATCAATATTAGGTTCAATACATCAATAATTATTTTTTAGCACAAAAGATTAAATTTCTGATACTCGATACTCTCAAATGTCTGATGAAGATGGCAAATCATATTAATTTATCTGTCTTATATGAGATTTAATAATCAATAGTTCAATACTCTCGACTGCCGTAACAAAATCTTCTTCCTTCATTTCGCAATTAGAACAGAGGATCATATAAGTTTTTGGGTAGAAAAGTTGGATTATATACATCTTTCTATCTTAAGTTGGATACGAATATTCTTAGCCAATTTCTTTGCTAAGATTTAGGCTTCGTTTGGGACGGCTTTTTTATTTCTTTTTAAAATAGAGTTTTAGTACAAATTTTTTTATTTTTGTATCGTTTTAGAAAGCAATAAAAAATTCGTCCCAAACGAAGCCTTAGTCTATGTGCGGGACGACTGCATTGTTTTATAAAGTTAATTTGGAGAAAAGAAATTTTCTCTACAATGATTGTTGAAAGAAGTTTTCAATCATGAAAATTTTTAAAAAACTGAGAAATTAGCAGCAAAATGATAGTCAAATAAATATGTAGATGTTATCTAAAAAATAAAACAGCTAAAAAGTTGTCCCAAGCTACTTTATTAACCCAAAAATAAGACAAACATTGCATAAAAATTCTCTCACCAGTTGTATTAGGGGGTCAATATTTGATACGATCTGAAACCCAACTCAAATCCGACCCGAAAATTTTGAGTTAGGGTCAACCCTCTTCGCAAATGGGTCGGATTCGGGTTCCTGAATTCGTCACGTTTGAAAAAACTGATCGAGTTCGGGTTGACTTGGACAATCGATGGGTCAACCCAAAAATCTGTTTCAAATGAGCTGATCGTGCTGCCCAGGTTAATCTGGCATCTGCCCACGCAAGAGCCTGGCCGCTCGTCCCGTTCGATGCTGCCCACAGTTCGAGCTGCTTGCGCCCGCCCACGTGTTGCTTCGACTGCCCGGTCGTCCTGCAGTAGACGCAAGCCCCTCCACCGTTCGTCGTCCGACCGTCGCCGTCCAACCGTGTCAAGTCGGGTCAACCCGATAACCTGACGGGTTGGGTTTGGGTCTGAACTTCCGACTCTTTTACATAATCAAGTCGGTTAGGGTCAACCCGTTTTAACCCAAATTTGACCTGAACCCAACCCGGATTTTGATACCCCCTATGTCATATTCTCTAAGCAAGTTAGCTTGTCGAGGCAAATCTTAATTTTGGAGCAATGATGCAATTAAAATCTCAAATGAAAAATAAGAGGAAGAATTTTCCTCAAATTTAAATGAACATAACTATTACAACAATACTTGTAGAATAAAATTCTTCATATCAGAATTTCATTCAAGATCAACTTAAAATAGTTTCCCCCCATGTTTATCTTTAATACAACCTAATTGATAGCTAACTTAACCAATGAGACTTTGAAATAACTGTCCCTCATTTCATTATACACCCACTAATAATATGCCGAACAAATAGAAATATCCCAAAACAAAACGTCAAAGTTACACTAACTACTTGACTGCATGCAGTGTTGTCAACCCATGTAGCCTAATTAAAAACGCACTGTCCAATTAAAAGTTGCCAATCTGACCAACACTTTTTTCCTCTTTTGCTATACAATTATAGTTCTTTATAGTAACCTAAAAATAGAGGACTCCTTACCTTTTTTTTTTTAATATATATCAATGAAAGAGACGGTCACTAGTTTAGATAGATAGGAGGATTCTTCATCATGTTTATCCAGGCTAAGCTACATTTAGTAGCAGCTGCCTTCTTATACTCCTCTATTATATCATTGCGATTTTCTTTAGGACAATTTTCTAACTATTTCATCTTTCGCATTGAACCATAATATTATTTTGGCTATTGATTTCTCACTATTTTTTAAGGTCATATTGACTAAGGTTTCGTTTGAGACAACCTTCTTATTGCTTCTTAAAATAATTTTTTAGTACATAAAAAATTGTTGTACTAGAAAACTGCGCGCTGCTTTAGAAAGCAATGAGATAGCTATCTCAAACGAAGCATAATCAACTTTATAAAATGCTGCAACCGTTCCAATCAGATCCTAATTAAGTCTCAAATTAATATTTAACATTATAGGAATCTTAGAATTTTTTAAAAAGTTGACTTGAGTCCCAAAATAAAAATTTAATGCATGTAGAGTCAACTACAAATTTTGATGATAATTTTTAAAATACTTATCAGTTATACTTATTATATGAGTTATTTAATGTTGATCATTGCTAGAGTTTTATAATGAATATTATCACATTTTTTTATTCGGTGGACATTTAGGTCAATTAAAATAAATTCACACACTCATCACTTACATAAGACTTAAATTCAAAATTTTTTAATTGATAATCAAAACTCTCAACCAACAGATAAAAAATAAGCTATATATGTTATATCTTTCTTTATCATCATAAAGAGATGCAGTTGATTATGCTAATAATCACTTATTTAGAATCGATTTGAAGAATCCTTACTACTTCTTTTAATAAAGTTTTGTGTTATATGAGATGCTAATTTTGTTTAATATAAATTCTTACACGTAAATCCTAATCATATTATTAATAGCCTTTTTTTTTTCTTTCTGCTTAATTATTTTAAGCTAATTTCTACCTACGTAGCCATATATTACATGCACAGACGACTGTCAATGTCATTATCATAATTAATCTTATCTCAATTATTGGAGATTGGATTTAATAATATCCTTATTTTAAATTTGTTTATGTTTAGTACTATTTAGAATATTCAATTGATTATGCTTATCAATATTATCTTAGTTCTAATCATTTTTTTAATCCTCTTATTTTTATTTTATCTATTTCTCTAATAGTTATATCTTATATAATTAATTTTATATATCCTCAAATTAAATAAATCTATTTTCATTTGCACATTATTTATAAAAGATATCACTCTTTTTTTTTTCTAAAATATTTTTTTTTCTTTCAATCTATTTATTTTTTCTACATTTCTATCACGCTTAAGTAAGCTATCAACAATTTTTTTATAGTGTCGGATTATCAGATTTATACAACATTGTTGGCCATTATGGTTTAAACTTTTTTATTATTCTCTTATCATTAAATTTTCTCATCGTCATATAATTTATTAAATTTATATTGATATCTTTATGATAATGATATTTTCTTTTTGATACTCCTAAACAACATATTTATTCATGATTAATTATTCTGAATCCAAGAAGAAACAGTGGTAGTGTTTCTGAGTGAGCTGTCATTAGTGAAGATTAAAGGGAGATTAATTAATGGACTAAGATCATAATTAATTTGATATGTTTAAAGGAAGATGAGTCAAGAAAGACACGACAAAAGGTTAATGCCAAGGACATCATCAACAAGAGGTTTTTAATAGTCTGCAAACGGTGGAACAAATAAGGGATAGACGTAAGGGCAGAACTAGTCTTAATTTTCAGGAGAGATAAACTTATAATTGTTGGTGTTGTCTCGAATTTGGCTCGACCATTCACTAAAAAAAAATGTGTGATATTGCTATAATGTCATTTTAGTGATTCTATAGTCTCTGGTGCTGGTGGTGGCATTGAGGTTTTGGCTACTAGCGTTATTGCTGTTGATATTGATACTGTGTCTGATATTGAGCCTGTCGTGGGGGCTTAGCTTCCGAAGAATGGTGTTGTGGTTGTTATGGATACTGCTAATCCTATTGATCATGCTGTCGTTGATTCCTCTGTGCAGGTTTGTAAGGATGTTGTGGTTGGGGTCTTACCTCCTATTTAGGTGAATCGGGATTGTAATAGTATTGATGGTCATTTGGGTTGTGCTTTAGATTCTTGTCCTATTTTGTCGGTGGTTGGGGCTGTCTGCCCCGTCTGTCTTGCCTCCTGTGATTGTGGAATGCTCGAATGGTTTGCTTTCTACCCCTGTTCGGTGGGGCTTGCTCAGTTTCTCCTTCGGCTGTGGATCTTGAGGGTTCTACTAGTGCTCTTGTCCCCACTATCTCTTCCCCTGTTTTGCATGCTGGATTAGTTCCTAATGTTTTTGTTGATGTTCCAGTTAATTTGATTGAGCCTCAAGCTATGGTGTATCATGTGGGAGATAATTCTGGGGTGGATGTGAGGTTCATCTTGATTGGCTTCACTGTTCGTCCGAGTCTGTCTTCTTCTGAGTCTTTTGGGGGTGATGATCATGGAAAGGATTTGCAACATGACAGACCGGTTGTTTCTCGTGGGAGGGGCAGAAGGTGTAGATAACCTTCCTCCAAGTTGGTTGCCTTTGTGTTTATCTTGTTGGATGCCTTCTTTGTTAGTCTTTTGGTTTTTTTTTTTTATTTTTTTTTGGGCCTCTGACTATTTGGCACTTGGGCTTTATTCTTAATGCTTGTTATATGGTTGGAAGCACATTGTGTTGTTGCAATTGGTTTCAAAGGGCAATGATGTGGTTGTGACTCGTTTTTCTGTCAGCTTGGCTCCTGGCAACCTTTCGTGGTGCACTATTGCTCGGTTGGTTGGTTGCTTCGCATTTTCATTCACCAAATTGGATGGTCTAAGCTTGGCTTTGGGGAAGCTGGAAGCCTCGGCTAATTACTAAGCCATGGGGATTTTTTCTCAAATTATTTTCTTTCACTTCTTGGCATTTTGCTCTTAGCGTCCTATACTCTGTTTTTTGAATTTTAATATATTTTGTTGAAAAAAAAAATGTCATTTTAGTGACTAATAATTCTTTGTACTTGAGTACATTATACGTTTTAAAATATCATTAACATTTTATATAATGATAATTATTCTTAAACAAAATTCAGCTTGAAGTATAGATGATTTGTTTGAAAAAAAAAATCAAATCAATCTACTTAATTAATCATTCAATTTCTACAAAATATATGTTGGAGTTGCCTTGAATTTGACTTGATCCCTATTTGTTCATATCCTTGATCGTTATACGCTTCGCAGATATGTAGAAAGTTCAAGGGGCAATTCCCTTGGCAGGGTTCAATCTAACCGGTATGGTCGCAAGGTTAAGGGGCGACCCCTACGGTGGTTTCCAGGGGCAGTGCACCAGGAATAAATTTTGGTTGTAATGATATTTTTGAAATTTTCCGGGTGTGTGAAGATGAGTACATGTGGTTAGGACAAAAAGGGGGCAAATTATGTAAATCCATTTCTCATATAGCAATTGCCCAGCCCCACCCCCACCCCGCCCGCGACATATACATGGTTCCGCCCCTGAATAGACGCATAATAAATTAGAATGAATTGAGAGGAGAGAAATAAAAAGTAAGATTTTCCCTCAGTTACTTCGAGCTTTGTTGCTCTTTGAAAATTTATTTTATTTACAACAACTTTAAAAATAGTAAGAAAGTCGTTCCAAATTAAGCCTGGCTATAAGAGATAGGCTAGGAGGCAGATTTGATCATTGACCTCACCGAACTGAGCTAGCATCCACTTGTTTAAGTGGCAAAGATGAAAGCTGAAGGAATCATGCATGGGAGGAGTTAAAATTTCTCTAGTCCGAAACACAGACCGGTTGTCGTGGTTAGTGGTGATATAAGACATTTCCATGGTGTTGATATATGTTGCCAGGCATGACACTTCTTTTATATGGCAAACACTTCCCATAATGGCATCAAAATGTGCACAATGAATATATCCTACATAGTAGACCAAATAAAAAGATAGAAAGCCAAACTATTTGGCAGTTCAAAGAGATGAAAGAGTTCTCAAACTGAGACTAAGAAGCCTGATGTGAAGAACACGAACAATTATTACATCCGGTGACCGGATGTAGAGCTACGTTCGGTCACCACTGAGTTACTTGGTATTTGCTCGGTATTGCTAGGTATTGCTTGGCAATAACAAGAAATACCGCTCTGTAAAGACCAATACCGAGCAATACCGAGTTTTTCTAGAAAAAACTCGGTATTGCTCGGTATTACTCAGTATTTACTCAGTATTTGTCTTCACATAATGGTATTTCTCGTTATTGCTGAGCAAAATCGACAAATACGTGGTTTTGTGCCTGCTACGTGGCGCGATCTCAGTGGTGACCTAACGTAGCTCTACGTCCGGTCACTGGACATAATAATTGTTCGAAGAACAAAAAAGTGAGAGGAATAAACTCGTTATCATTAGTAAAAAAAAAAAAAAAACTCGTTATCATTTAATAAAATTTAGAGTGGTTGAACAAACATGTCAGCATCCACTATGAGATCATTTTACCTGATGAGATTGGCATATTCCAAAGAAAATTCTTTAGAAACATCACTTGAAAAAAAAAAAGGATATTAATCAATGGCTGTGTAATAATGAACAGCAGATGATATCGTTGAGATGTCTGAGGGGATTCTAACATCGTTTATAGGCTTGATGAGTAGATTGACCACTCAATCCAGATAACTTAGGCTTAAGCAGCTTTTTAGTACAAAACTAAAAAATTTTGTACTAAAAAGCTATTTTAAGAAGCAAAAAAAAAAAAAAGTCGTCCCAAACGAAACCTTAGTCGAGAGATTGCAGAAGTTCAAAAGTTGTTTTAAGCTATTTTAAGCAGCTTTTTAGTACAAAACTAAAAAATTTTGTACATAAAAGTTGTTTTAAGAAGCAAAAAAAAAAAACGTACCAAACGAAACTTTAGTCCAGAGATTGCAGAAGTTCATGAATGACAATGCTGCTAACAAGAGAGTTCTAAGGAGCAGGGAAGATTATTCTAAGGAGGTTCAGACCTTACTGAGAGGATTGAGAGAGGCTATTTGCTTGGGAAGGCTTGAAAAGTCTTTGAGAGGAATCATTCTATGTTGAGAGGTTTTCTAGTGTTTAAAGTATTTATCAAACAACTAAGGTTGATCTACAATCATTCATTGACGCTGGTCTAACCTGTGGGCATATATGTATGATTGAGGTCACATGCAGGACACAATATTTTGCTTTGGTTCATAGCTAGGGGTGTAAATATTGGACCCGATCTGAAAATCCGATTCGAACCTGATCCAAAAATTTCAAGTTTGAGTTGACCCGAACTCAAAAGGGGTCGGGATCGAAGTTCAACAATTCGACTCGTTTCAAAAATTAGGTTGGGTTCGGTTTGACACGTTGACCCGAAATTAACCCGAAAACCCATTTTGTCCAGTCAACCTGAGATTGACCCGTTTTTTATCCAAAAAGGGAGATTGACCCATTTTGGCCCGAAAACTAGCAGTTTTTTGTTGGCACCGGATCATTTGGGTCGGGTCAGGTTGACCTGGACCCAAAGAGGTTCTGGGTCGGGTTCGAAAAACCGACCCATTCGCAAAAATGGGTCGAGTTCAGGTTGACATGAATAGTGCAGGGTTAGTTACGGGTTTGACTCGAATCCGACCCGTGTCACGAAATTGACACCCCTATTCATAGCAATCATCAACATCCATCATTTCCCTCTAGCTTATCTTCTCTCTTTTCCCCTCTCCCTCCTCTCTTTTCTCTTTCATTTCCCTGCTCTTTTCATATTTGTTTTTATATTCCTCCTTCTATGAGATGGTCAAATGTGAAGTCAAAATTTTTATTTATTAAAAATTGTTATTCTTTTCAACAATATTGAACTAATTTAAGTCATAAATAATGACTATTATTAAGAGTTGAATGAAAGCCACCACAAGTCATAAATGGAGGCTACTATAAGATTCTAAATGGAGGTTATCACAAAAATCTAAATGAAGACTACAAAAGTCTTTCATTGGAAGTTGATTATTAATGTTGGAAGGTAAGCTCTTTATTATATAAATCCATGTAATGCTTGTAAAGTATCTCACAATCATAAGCAAATAAAGAGAATGAAATAAATGGAAAGAAGTTCTTGCAGTAGGTAAGACAGGAGAAGGAGAAGCATGATTAATTCCTTTTCTTTGCATTTGGCCCTCATATTTATAATTTATTTTATTTATATAAAGTGTAGTTCCTTTGATAAATGTTTTTAGAAGTTTTGTGAAATATTTAATCTCTCTACATTCGTGGCTATAGCTGAATCTCACTTAATCATATAAGCATCTCCTATATTTGATGTATTTGGTATGGTTGTTCTCTAGTCTTCATTTATTTATTTATTTATTTTCTTGAAATATTATTACTATTCTAACCATCAGCATCGGAGCTTTAATTTAAGGAGCTTTCAGGTTCGAGCATGGAAGACGAAAAAAACAAATTGATAAGTCACTGAATGAAATTTTGGGTTCTAGAAGATGGATATAGAGGATTATTTATACGATAAACCAAACTCCATCAATCATGAAGGGAGTAAAGTTACCATCAATCAATCATAAAGAGTGGGAGTTGATGAACATATAATTTTTAGGGATTTGTCTATCCATGAATGTTGCCTTCAATATCCTCAATGAGATCACAATAGCAAGTCTCATGAAGGTACTCTCTGATTTTTATGAAAAGCCCTCAACAATCAATAAAGCATTATCATGCATAAGTTTTTCAAAATATCATGATAAAAACTATCAATCAAATTATTATAGAAGTAAATCCCAAGATCGCCCAAATGGATGTTAGTATTGTGGCAAGCCTAGATAATATAAAAAAGAGACAAGAATAAAGCAAAAAGTCAAAAGAATAGCAGATGAATGTTATTGTGGAAGACAAATAAGAGTTAACTTCTTGATGATTGTGATTTCGTGAGAGAGCTTAAAT